TCGGTAGTGCACTATCTGGATGATTTCCTTTGTGTGGGGCCAACCGACTCCTCCGCGTGCCTGAACATACTTTGGACTATTGAGTGGGTGGCGGGCCGCTTCGGGGTTCCGTTGGCAGCCGATAAAACGGAGGGCCCGGTGACGTGCCTTAGTTTTCTGGGGTTAGAGATAGACTCGGCTCGGGGAGAGTGTTGGCTGCCTCAAGGGAAGCTGGAGGGACTGAAGGGGGCGGTGGCGGCTGTGGTGCGGGTGCGCAAGGTCACTTTGCGGCAGCTGCAGTCGTTGATTGGCATGCTGAACTTCGCGTGCCGTGTGATACCCATGGGTAGGGTCTTCAGCCGCAGCCTATCGGCTGCTACAGCGGGGGTTCGATCCCCACGCCATTTTATTCTGGTGTCTGCGGCCATGAGGGCCGACTTGAGCGTATGGGACACCTTCCTGAGGGAGTTTAACGTGACGGTGTTCTTTCGGCAGGAGGGCAGGGCGGCAGCAGAGTTGGAACTGTTCACGGATGTGTCGGGTAGTATAGGTTTCGGGGCATACTTTGGGGGAAGATAGTGTGCGGAAAAGTGGCCGGAAGCGTGGGGGTCGAGTCCCCTCATGTGCAACCTGGCTTTTCTGGAGTTTTTCCCGTTGGTCGTCGCGATGGCACTATGGGGTGAAGGGCTGCGGGACCGGAAGGTGGTATTTTTCTCCGACAACATGGCGGTGGTGCATGCAGTGAACAATCAGTCTGCGGCTTCCAAGCCGGTGGTTAGGTTGCTGCGGTGTCTAGTGTTAAGGTGTATGTTACATAACTTAGTTTTTCGCGCGCGCCATGTTCCCGGGTACTTGAACGAAGTGGCTGACGCTTTGTCTCATTTTCAGTGGTCCCGATTCCGAACGGTGGTGCCGGAGGCGTTGGAAGTGGGTCAAGCGTGCCTGGACGAGATATGGCAGCTGGGAGCATCCTGCTTGGGGGACTTGTGAAGGCTTCCCTGGCACCGGCCACGTGGGCCGCCTACAGTAAGGTCTGGGACTCTTGGGAACAGTTGTTGGAAGGGCTAGATTGCGTAGTTGAGGGGGAGTCGCTCGGGGACGCATTTCTGTGGTACACAGGCAAAGGGGTTGTCCCCGGCAGTGGTTGACAGGTCCATGGCGGCGTTGGCTTTCTGGTTTAGGTTGCACGGAAAGGAGGATCTTACCAAGACCTTCGTTATCAGGCAGGCGTTGAAAGGGTATCGGAGGGGCCGCAGGCGGCCGGACGCTAGGCGCCCGGTGTCGGTGGTGGTGCTGGGGGCTCTGGTCGGAATGTTACCGGAGGTTTGTTTCGACGAGTTTGAGGCGTCTCTGTTCAAGGCAGCGTTCCTGTTGGCCTTTTTTGGGGCTTTCCGGATAGGGGAGTTGGTGAGCGCTGCTAGGGCGGTGCCCTGTGGTTTACAGGTATCGTGGGTTCGGGTTCTGGATGGAAAGTTGGTGGCGCACCTGGCAACATCCAAAACGGACGTCAACGGCAGAGGCCGTTGCGGAGGCGGAGTACATGGCCCGGAGACCGGCGGTGGGGGGATCCCTACTAGTGCATGCGGATGGCTCTTCCCTCTCACGATTTCAATTTGGAAAGGTTTTTCGGTTGGGCCTCGTGAGGATGGGGCTACGGGCGGATAGATTTGGAACACACTTCTTTCACATTGGGGTGGCCACGGAGGCAGCACGATTGGGTCTTGGGGATGAGGTAGTGAAGCGGATAGGGAGATGGGATTTGGTGCGGTTCCGTTCCTATGTGCGGTTGGGTCTACTGGATTAAAAAAAATTTTTTTTTTAAATTTGGCCTTATCCGGGGGATCCCGGTAGGGATGGGGGAGGGGGTCTTCTCTCCCCTCATGTTTATTTAATTGTTTGTTTTCTTCTCCTTCCCAGGCCGTGTTGCATGGATCGTTGGCCATTCCTTTGTCTTCTGGGTCGCAAGGAGGGCTGCAGCTCGAGCCCAGGGCCAACAGCTGGGCTTTCAGAGGGACCAGTTGGCAGTGCAATGGTTTGGGTTCAGGGGGTTCGGCTGGGGGGAAGTTTGCGGGGCTGTGTTTTGAAGGATAGCGAGTGGGGAGGCGCCAGACATGCTGGTCCTACATGTGGGGGGCAATGACTTGGGCCTCACGCCCCACGACGGCTGGTAAAGTGGATGAAGCAGGACCTCAACAAATTGAGGGACTTGCTTCCCAGGATCATGTTAGTGTGGTCGGAGATGGTCCCGAGGCGTCGGTGGCGGCACGCACGGGATCCAGTGGCTATTGATAAGTGCAGGAAGAAAGTGAACAGTTTGATGGCGAGCTTTGTGAGAAAAGTAGGGGGAGTAGTTGTGCGGCATGGTGAGTTGGAAGGCGGGTTGCCAGGGTATTACCGCTCGGATGGAGTCCATCTCTCGGCGGTGGGGTGGGATCTCCTGAACTTGGGTTGGCAGGAAGGAATGCAGAGAGCGCTATTTCTTCTTGGTGGTGGAGCTCAGACAGCTTAAGGGATCAAGGTCTGAGCTTGTGGCGGGATAGGGAGCTGAAGGAGAAGGAATAGGCTCCCTAGGATGAACGTGGCAGAAAAGGAAACTGTGGTCATTGGTGGCTGGTAGGTTTCGAGTCCTGTCAGTGGCTCAGAACCTGGTGGGGTAGGGGTATCCGGGTATACCCCTGCCATGGTTAACTTATGTTTGGCACTTTAAGTTGGTATGTTGGAATAATGTCAGTATATGTTATATATATGTGTTATATCTATATGTGTTATTTATATGGGGGTCATTGCCTTTTATATAACAGAAGGAGTCGGATGCGAAGGCAGAGTATGGGGGCAATGACCCATGTTTATTTGTTAAGTTATTATTATTATGTTACAATTAATATATTGTTATTATTATTTAAGATGGTTTAATAAAGCTGTGGACAAATTTTCCCATATACCCGAGTGTCAGTGTGATTATTGGGTTAGGTATGTGGGAGGGTTGTCCTGGAGTCCGACTGCCCATATGGCGACTATACACCGGTCATGTAGCCCCATGTAGCCAAAGCACAGCTAAGCGAAAAAGGGCCTTGACGGGGGTTAGGAGGCGGGCATTAGGAGGAGGGAAGGCAGTATGGAGTTATGGGTAAGTAGGCTGGGCTATTTAAATAGGCAGCCATTTTAGGCAGCCATTTTTACAAGCCTCAGGCGGCGCAGCACTGCTATGGAGGGCGGCCGGATTTGAGTGACCTGCAGGAGGGAAGCGCAGAGCGGCCGGGAACAGGAAACAGAGGTTCCTGTCCCGCGTTCCGCGCCGCCCGGCCACGCTACATACGCGGGCAAGGACCGCCCCAGGTTGCAAGCACCCACAAGTGCAGGGACCGGGCAAGTAAGGACCATGGTGGAGGGGAACAAGTGGCAACCAAGGATGGGGAGGCGCAAGGACCACAGGGGAGGGGGGGCAAGGACCAATCAGGGAGGGGAGGTGGGCACCACCAGGAGGGGGGTAAGGACAGGAGGGGGAGTAAGGACCACTGGGGGAGGAGTGGGGAGTAAGGACCACTGGGGTAGGAGGGGGGAGTAAGAACCACTGGGGAAGGGGAGGTAAGGACCACTGAGGGAGGGGGGGAGGTCTTCTAAGGGGTTTGGGAGAGGGAGGACCACTAAGGGGGGAAAGGACCACCAAAGGGGGGTAAGTAGGACCACTAAGGAGAGGGAAGGAGGGTAAGGACCACTAAGGAGAGGGGAGGAGGGTAAGGACCACTAAGGGGGTGGGGGGAGGAGGGGAATGTCTACTAAGGGGTTTGGGAGAGGGAGGTCCACTAAGGGGAGGGATGGAGGACCACTGAGGGGGAATGAGAAGACCGCCAAGGGAGAGCACTAAGGGACAGGAGGGAAGGGGAAATCAATAATTGACAGGAGGGTGAGCACTATGCAAAAAATTAAGAGCTGCTCCCCTCTCAGTCCCTATCCTACCCCACAAACCCTCTCTTTTACACTACACACATACACACATACACAATGCATCCCCCCACAAACACACACAGAGAAACATACAATGCATTCCTACTCACACACAGACACACCCGAAACACACAATGCATCCCTTACATTCACACAAACTCATTCTCTTACACACAGAAACAAAATGCATCTCTTACACAATCAATGCACCCCTTACAGACACACACTGCATTCAATTAAATACACAGAAACACACCTTGCACCCCTTACACACACACACACACCCAGAAACATACAATGCATTCCTTACACGCAAACAAACACTGCATCCCCTATAAACACACTACATCCCTTACAGAAATTGGTATCCCTATACACTACATTCTATAAGAACACACACACGTTGCATCCTCTACAATAACACATAAAACATCCCCTCCACACATACACTCCACTTCCTGTGAGAGAACTCACGGGTGGGCCATGTAGGTGGATTTATGGGTGGGCATTGTAGGCATACTCACGGTCAAGCCCTGGGGGCCCAGACCCTGAGCTGTGTAAAGGGCCCTAAAAAATGGAGCTGCTTCCTGTTCGTTAATTGTTGTGAGCACTGTTAAAAACAGTCTCCAGAGAGCCTCTTCTACACGAGAAATGTGGAGCCAGACAGAGCCCATCATCAGCCTCTTGTCCTCATCTGGTGGTAAGTAGGCAATCCAATATATTATTAGTGGCACCAATCTCTAATTTACCTCACATTAAATGGATACTATAGTCACTAGAAGCACTACAGCTTAATGTAGTGGTTCTGGTGTCTATAGCCTGTGCCTGTAGGCTTTTTAATGTAAACACACTGTCTTTTCAGATAAAAGACACTTTGTGAAGACTGGCGTTGGCCCATATGGCAGAGCATATGGGCGGGGCATTGTGATGTCACATGGTGGGCAGGACATATGGGTGGGGGGGGCGGCAAAATCTTTTTTGCCTAGGGCGGCAAAAATCCTTGCACCGGCACTGAGTCCGACTGCCCATATGGCGACTATACACCGGTCATGGATCCCACCAACATATCTTTTTGCATGCAGAGGAAAGCTTGGTGCACCGACCACAATGTAAGCACTCATGCTGTAATTTGCTCTTGTAGAAGGACCAGCAGAATCTAGGTTTGTGACCCGCTGACACCACAAAGACATCATCAGGAGAAACATGTTCTTGACATGAAAATGTACATTGGGTCACACTGCATTTTGTGCCTAAACTTCTAGCTATACTGCAGCGTCCTCTTCATCTGCAGGCCTGTAACGGAGCAATTGCACTCCGGTTGAGTTCCTCCATTAGGTCAGCTTGCTTGCTTGGGATACCTCCACTCTGGACAGGCCTACCGTGGTTATAGCTCCATGCAGTGGTTATAGCTCCTTGCAGGTCCGTCATTCAGGGGATTGCCATAACGACGCGTGACGGACCTTGTCTGTCACCCGTTAAAATTAACCCAGGCTGTCAGAGCGAGCACATGTGCTCCATATACTCACCTTCCGCCTCCCTGCACTTCCTAGTTCTGTGTGAAGTGCAGGGAGCCGGAACAGTGATGATCCTGCCCCCTGTGTAAAAAAATTAAGTTAATTTAAAATCCCACCCCCCTTTACCCATTTTAATAAAAAAATTAACGCCTTCCCTGCCAATTGATCACTGACTACAGTGATCAATTGGCAGGGATTACATTTTACTGTCATCTGATTTTTTTAATCCTCAGGGGTTACATTTATTTAATTAATTAATTTAAATATTTTAAAATTATATATTTAGCTAGCTGGGGTGGGTGGAAGTTAGTGGGGAATTGGGGGATTTGGTGTTAGGCTAACTAGGGGTTAAAGCGGCACTGTCATGCCGAATCCCGTTTTTTTTTTAACCCCCCTCCCGCATCCACTACATCCAATTGACCCACTAGTCACCCCCAAATGCCCCTAAGCCC